TTTTTTTTAGTATTGTTTAGCAAAAACAATAAAAACCCAAATTTTTTTAACCATCACTCATGTCTCAGGTTTGTGCGTGTGCTTCAGAGGCCCTGGATGGAGGGAATCTGAAAGTATGTCTTAAGTTTGACCTTTTTCTTTAGATTCTTTGCTTTCTACTCTTTACCATCTCTTTCCACCCTTTGAGAACATCCAGGAATGTGGTATAAAGTGTATAACTTAAGGGCGTCCAAGGTTGGGAGTTGTGTCTAAGTGGTGTCGGAGAATAAAGGGGCTGGGTACATGCATAAGACCATTTGTTACAGGACTTTTTAGAGGAAAAAGAGAGAAGACTGAGAAGTAAACTTTCGTATCTACCTGCCATTGGCCAGAACTTGATTTAAAGTACCAAGCCTTTGATTTGGTCTGCATGGAAATGTCGGCTTCTGGAGAAGGGAAAAGAGACTTTGCAAGACCTAGAAAACCTAAGAGGTGCAATTAAAGGAATGAAGGTGATTAGTGGGAAATAGTGGGCTGGGAGGAAGCTCTGCCATGTGTCCCATGTCATTTCCTTCCTATTAGTCTCTAGGTCTGAGTGGGAGACTGTGTGTACCAACTGTTTCTGGTAGGAAGCACATTTGACTCTTCAGTTTTAGTTTATGAAGTGATGTGGGAGAATCTTAAGCAATTCAACAGTTGGAGTTAATATGATGGGAAAGACAAGTATAGAAGAAGAATAAGGACTTTGGGGACAAATAGTTGGGTTCAAATCATATCTTCATTTCCTCACTTTGCGACTGTGGATAAGTCATTTCACCTGTCTGAGCCTTAGTTTCCCCAACTGTAAACATGGAAGTAATACCCATCTTCTAGAAATAAGTTATTTAAAATACTTAATACTTAGAAGGTGCTTTGTAAGTTTTAATGTAAATGTTAGCTTGGTCCTAGAATGGTTAAATCTGGAGATGAGACTGGATTAGATGATTTCCAGAGGCTCCAACGTTGTTTTAGAAGTCTTCGTTTAGATGGCATTATAAGTGAGGCTAATATGTAAAACATTTGGGCAGAGTTAGAGGTCTCAGAGCCCTGCCCTCTCAGTCTCATATCTCATCCCTGCCCCTTCCCTGGAGTCCCTGAGGAATCTCTTTGATTATAATTTGAAAACCACTCATTTTACAGAAAGAAGGGGAGTGAGTTACACCGGGGTTGAGTGACCTGTCAAGAGTACCACTGCTGCCTGTGGCGGCAGAGCTGGAACAAAACCCCAGGCTTTATCCACTTTTGGGCTCTTAATACTGCTCTGTGACTTTCCAGATTGTGGGCATGTGTACTGCTGATGGTTGTTTACCAGGTTTAGGATGGAACACAGATGAGACAGGTGAGTGGGAGAATTGTCCCCAGGATTGAAAGAATATTGAACTGTTAGGGGTGCAGAAGTCTTGAAACTGATGAAATGTGTACTGGTAATTTTGCAGTATCTCCTTGTCTTTGAGAAATTCCTCTTCCTCTCCAAATACACACATACCTCAGCGCCCAATTACTTCCTCACCACCATATGTGCCTTTGGGTTTACTGCTATTTAGAGCATCCAATCCATATACTATAAAGAGCCTTACCACATTGAGTTGATATTGAATTTGCTGTTTAAGTCCGAGCAGCTCATTACTGATTTCTGTTTATTGTTTTGAAAATTGCTGAAGCACTTCAATACTAGTTTAGGGGCTCCAGCCTGGGAACCACTGGTGCAGGGTAAAGGTTCCTTGACAATTTCGAAGCTAAGAATGTGTGTCAAGATCTGTACTCCTGTAAGTCATGTTGGTTGAAGAAGGAGTAGAGGTTTTTCAGTCATACACAAAAATAGAATTTGTAAGAATTTGTAAGAATGTATAATGCTAGAAGCTACACTGTGGTAAGAATGTATAATGCTAGAAGCTACAGTGTGTAGGGTGAGTGGTGGGGTTAAGAGTTTGGGAACTGGGATCAGTCATCTCTGAAGATAATTTTTTATGGGATGGATTTGCATTCTTGTCGCTGCTGGAGGCCGTGGGTGCCATAGAATTCTCTCTTAAGAAACTTGAAATCAGCACATAGCACCTAAACTTTGAGTTTAACAAAAAAAAAACCACAAAATACCTTACAGGTGAAAAAGGGATACTATCTAGATCCTAAAACGCTTCTTCCTAACCCTTGCACTTTTGAAAATGTGGTGTACTTCACGATGTCAAAAGAAACTTGCCAACTCATTCCCTCATTCCTGGCCCACAAAGTATAATAATCAGTTCTGTTTTATACTACCATGCCTTGCTTCAAAGCCACCTGTGAAGCCATCCTTGGCAATTAAAATGGAACGTGATTCCTGTCATTTATATCATGTCACGTGGCATGTATGACTTGCATTATAGTTATTTGTTTAGGTTTATCTTTAGTGGCCTAATGGGGAATTTTGAGACTCCAAGGATTATGACTTTACATGCACCCAGCCATTGATGTAAGACCAAAGGTAGTGTTTTGAAAATCATTAGTTTAATAACTGAGTCACCTGAGCCAAGATGAAAAGTGATCCAGGACTGATTTGAGTTTTGAGGAAAGCTTGAAGTCAAGTTTGGAAAGAGGGCAAGGGACAGTAAAGGACATGACAGGAGATGAGAGGAAAGTATACTTGGTTCCAGCCTGAGAAGCAGCAGGGCTTGTCTCCAGTTTTCTTCAAAGCAGACTTTGGCAGCTGGAGCCAACACTGGTCAGATTGTGGCCTCCTTGTCCCATTTTCCTTTAATTTTCAATTTTTTGAAAGTCTAAAATGGAACTAAGTTTCTTTCTTAACTGACAAGGTAAGGTGAGGGTAAGGTATATTTCTAGTGACTTCTCAGCTAACCTCTCCCCTTTCTCTCTACTACTCCAATGCTGACTCCAGCAGGTAGTCTCAGTGAAGGGGCTAACAAGTGGTTTATTTTGATCTGGCCCTGCATTCTGGTCTTTCCTTGGTTTAAAGTAGTACTTACTGTAGGGAGGTACATTTAGTACTCTAAAGAAACTATTCTGGAGGGTGGCCTCTAAGATGTGACTTAAGCTGAAATTTGAAGAACAAGGTGCTAACAGAGTGCTTGGATAGAGGGAACAGCAAGTGCCAAAGTTGAGGTTGACGAGAGCTTGGAATGTTTAGGAACTGCTAGAAGACAGGTGGCTGAAGCCTTGTCAGCAGGATGGAGAAATAGCCAGATCGCGCAGGGCCTTGTAGCCATCGTAGGGACTTGATTCTGTTCTTGGCACAGTGGGGAGCTGTTAGAGGGTTTTAAGGTGTCAAGGGATTTAGTCCAACGTTAGGTGGCAACATTGGAAGAGAAAGACTTGCATTAGGCCATTGCAGGAGTCTAGGCAAGAGATGGTGGTGACCGTGATTTTAGGACTGATAGGACCTATTGATGGATTGTAGGTGAGAGAGAGAGGAACTAAGAATGACTTCTAGGTGGATGACAAACAATGAGAGAGCAAGAGGTTTGTGGAAAAGTCAAAGAGTTTTGTTTTGCCCATGAAACACTGAAGAGCAGATGGTAGATGAGCAAGTGGAAATCGATTCTAGAGTTAGAGGACTGGGCCAGAGCCTAACATTAGTTGTTACCTCATCATGAACTCCAAGAAGTTGAGAGGTGAGATCCATGGCCACAGTAGATGTTTTGGCTTCTCATAGAATGGGGGCCTTCTTCCATTGTAAAGGAAGTAGAAGACAGTACAGTTGCAAGTGAGTTTGTAGATTCGATAGGGAGGGGAGGGTGAGGGACCTTGTGTCCTATGGCTCAGTAAATGAGGGAAATACTGGAAAATTGCTGAGTGCCCTTTAGAGGTGTGTACTCGGTGTAGCCAGGTGCTCATCGTGTGGCTTTGTGTTAATTGTGTTGAGTTGCTTGGGTGCAGACACAGAAAGTGGATAGTTGGGTACAACCAGGGCGTTCATCAGGTCTGTATGGAGGGAGAAGGGAGTTCAACTGAAGATATTTGCAAGGGAGTAATTGTAGTGACGGACTCTTCATGCCTACAGATGGATGCTGTCATCAAATACACTTTTTTGTTTGGATTAGCCTTTTTTTGTGGCTTTGTGTTAATTGTGTTGAGTTGCTTGGGTGCAGACACAGAAAGTGGATAGTTGGGTACAACCAGGGCGTTATAGGAAGGATATGCAGCTATGTAAATCCAGAAGTCGGTGTGCAGTGTGCAAAATATAGGTTGCTTCCAGTGCCAGGGCTGGCCCAAGTGTGGTATCGGAGGCTCAGTACAAATATCCCAGCACTTAGAAATGCCAGAGACCTTCAAGCTCAAGTGGAACAGTCCAGTCTCCTGGTTTAAATATCCTCTCTATAGCGTCATCCACAGACTGACCCTACTTGAGTACTTGGGTTGATGGGGAGCTTACTGCTTTGAGAAGTGCCCTTTAGTCCCCTGAGCAGCTGCTCATTTCTAGAACTAGGCTCAGGTCTCCTGCATGCTAGTCCTTGCTCTCTAGGATGTTTCCTTTTCCTCACAGCCCTTGGGTAAGAGGCATAGGAGTTGCTAAACTGGCAAATGTGACTGGGAGCTGTCTTGTCTTTAGTGAAATGGCTTATTTTTAACCAACTGTTCCAGCCTATTAAGAGCTTTTAAAAAAATCTCGACTATAATATTCTAGTTATCCTTGTCAGTTCCAATTTTTACAAACTGTCTTCTGTTTTCATCTTATCCAAAGGGATATCATGAGAGTTTAATAAGATCCAGATGTTTGTCTATGACTGCCATCTAGTAACCCTGTCAAAAAGGGAAGTCAAGTTGTTTGGGTATAACTTACTTTTTAATGAACTGACGTGGGCACCTGATGGTCACGTTTTAAGTAACTGGTCAGATAACATTCAATGAGCCCTTTTTGAATTTTGTTAATTGTTACACTTGTCTGACTTGAAAATTGGAAATTTTGTTGAGCCAAGTCTCTGGCAACCTTCTGTTTGTAATGTTTTCTCAAAAATTATTGACAGTGATTCCCCAGTTTTTTCCAGTTTAATTTTCCTGAACCAGATCACTTGAATTAACTCAAAGGGACTCAGTCTGATCAACCAACAGCTCAGATTCATATCCTAGGTTGCTTTTCCCATTCTGGGGATAATCTGTTATTCACCTATAGACCACGACTTCTTAGAGGGGTGTTTGGCTGGCATGGAGAACTCTAGCTTAGTGATTAGGAGCATGGCTGGACTCAGACAGGCCTGAGTTGTGTATGATTTCACCTTAGCCATTAATTAGCAATATGACTTGACAACTTACTTAGCCTTGCCAAACAGCAGTTTCCTCATCTGTCAAATGAGCATCTCAGTTGAAGATTAAATGAAGCCTTTAATGAGATGCCTGGCCCTTAGTAACCATATCTTCTATATGGCCATTATTATTCTCTTAAGAATTATGTTGGGCAGAGCTAATGAACACACTGGGGAACCTAGCAAGAAAGTTACTTGTTCGGCCTTCTAGGGCCAGGCAAAAGCGTTGAGTACAGATACTCTGTCCCCAGACCCCTCTTTGTTTCAAAAAGAGATACTGGGGACTCCTTGAAAGCCAGAGTGGAATATTTTGAGCTTTGGATTAGTGGGAACAATAGAGTTCATTCCTTTCTTTCGTGTCCAGATAAGACAGGTGAATTCTAGATGATGGCAGATTTGTTAGGCAGGCAGTGTAGAAGGACAGAGGAGACACCTGGCTCCTTCCTGACGTGAGGATGGGTTCCAAGGGGCTTCAAGCTGCCATCCTGATAAGAGAGCGGGGTGTAGGTTCCAGAAGGGAGAAAGCGGGCAGGAGGAACCTGTTCTTAGAAAGGCAGGGTAGGATCCTGCTCCCCGGATATTAAGGCCACAAGGCCTTGGAGATTTCTTCAACCCGTCTCATCCCCACCCTCAGGGCTGTGGCTTCCTTGAGAGCTGATTACTGCTTTTGGGAGTGGGGCTCTGGCCAGAGGCCAGGAGGGCAGGTAACTAGACCTGAGATTCTTTCCACTGGCAATCCTGGGCTGGAGCTGCACTCTCCCAGGAGTATCGTGACTGCATTTGGCTTCCATGGCCTGAGGCCTTGACCTCAAAGGCCAAATTAGGTCAGAATCTGAGGATCTATGCTGCAGGCAGGAGAAAGCAAAATTTCTCCAAGGGCTGTATGGGAAATAAGTGAGGTGGAGTTTGGAGTAGGAGTAAAGGAGTCTGGAGGATTAAAAGGACTGCCTTCTGTGATGCTTTTCATCCTAAGTAGGAATAAGGGAATGAGAATGGATGGGGACGGGGAATCAGGATGCTGGGGTCTCTGGCTGAGATGGCTCTTACCAGAAATCTGGGTAGCAGGTAATCATAGGAAATGGAAGATTCCTTGAGACCACTTTGGGGAACCCAGCAAATGATAAGACCCCTGAATGGTGTCTGCTTTTATTTTTCTCCCCCAGCATTACCATGCTTGTCCAGGGTCCTGGGTGGAGGAGTGAGGCACGAAGGTCTTGCAGCACCCGTGATGCCATCCTCACCCCAGCCCTCAAAGGGCAAGGATGGGGCAGATGTGGCTACTCCTTCCTTAGAGTGGCCATGGCCAAAATGGTGGTATCCGCTTTGCTCAGGAATCTAGTGGCAACATGCCCAGCACCGTGCACCTGCTCAGCCTCCCTCCCAGGCTCCCTGACAGAGTCTGGCTCTTGGAGCTGAGCCACAATAATCTCAGCTGCCTGCCAGGTGGCTCCTTCCAGGGCCTGTGGGGACTGGGGGCTGCTGATTTCTCACAACGTCCTGTGGGATCCGGCTGGTGGAGCACTGGGGGACCTGGGTTTCTTGGAGCAGCTAGACCTCAGCCTCAACCAGCTGGCCTGCTCGCCCCTGGACTTCTCGGCTACCCTGAGTTCTCTGCTCTGCCTGGACCTCTCTCACAACTGCTTGCTACCCTGGACCCCTGTAGCCTGTGGGGCCTGGGGAACCTGAAACAGCTCAACCTGAGCCACAATCAGGTGGCCGAGTTGGGCACAGTGGGCTTGGGGGCCTCTTTCACCTACACTGGCTCTTGCTGTCTGAGCACAAGCTGCAGCAAGTTGGTGCAGCTGTGGCCACCAAGCCAGGCCTGGTGGTCCTCTCTGACTGGGAACAACATCAGCAAGCTGGAGACTGAGCCATTTGCAGCCCTATGGGCACTGGGCCTCCTCACTCTTGTAGGCAACTGTCTGCAGCACCTCGAGTTCAAAGTGATGGTGGATATCTGGACAGCAGGCACGTGGCTGCTGCTGGCCAGTAACCTCTGGGTATGCAACTGACCTGCAGAGGGCTTTTGGAAAGCTGGGCCAACTTTGGCACTTGTGTGTGGCTGACCTGGGCACCTGGTGGGGGCAGTGCTGAACAGTGTGAAGGCCTGGCTCGGCCTGGCTGAGATGGCTACTGTGCTGTGGCTGTGGTCATGGCTGAGGGCAAGCACAAGCAGGGCCCCAGAGGAGCTGGAGTGTGGAAGAGCCCTCTGGAGACAGGAGGCGCTGCAGAGAGAAGTTGAGGCATCTGGATTGAGGAGAGCAGATGGACCTGTGGAAGAGGAAAAGATGTTCCTCGGAAGTTTTTCAGACTTAGCTGTCTGCCCAGATGGGTGGGAGGAATGGTGTTGGGTGGAAAGACAAATGGCTGTGTTCATCTCTCAGGGCCTAGGATCCCCCACTTGCCTATTCCTCTCCTTGGATCTAGCACAATGCCAGCATCTTTCCCAGTCCTAAAAAGAAGGATTTGGCCCCTAATCCTTCTCAACACCCCTCTGAGGAAGAGGGATGGGGGTATCGAGGAAAACTATTAATCCTATTCTCCTTTCCCCTACCTCATACATGTCCCTGGTGTCTTGGGGACTTATCAGAAGCTAGTTGTTAAAGTAATGATGGAGGTAGGCTGGGGTAGAGGTATTCCTGTTGGCAGAAACCAGGCAGGCTCCTAGAACTCTTTTATGAACATACATGACCCCGTTTCCGGTCCTCAACACCGTAGCTCCTTACCAAGGGCTATATATCTTGTCCCATTTGAATCAAGGACAGGTGAGATTGGAAAAATAAAACCAACTGTAAAGTTTATTCTGTACTATGCACCTGTATTATATTGAAAATTTACTTCTTGTGGTTGTCACTGGTGGGCAGGGGAGGTAGGCAAAATGACATCTAATCCAGGCTTTCTCATTCTCCTTACCTGGTGATCCCTCCCCTAGCATACACCTACACAATTCCATTCCCTAGTTTTTGCATGGATATATTCCTCTCTCACATTCTTTCTGATAAACTCAGACTTTACCCTAGTGACTTTGTAAAAGATTAGATGTGAAAAGGTGTTTTGTTATCCAGCTTTCACTGCTTTTAGAGAATTTTTAATTCACATTGTTAGAAATAGTGTTTGGACATGATCCCCCCCTCTTCCTATGGGAACTAGAAATTTCCCCTGAACTAAATGGCCTATGGGAGTGCTTGTAGATGAGAGAAGCAAGGTTAGGGGTGGTGCAGGAAGATAGGTGGGGGCAGCTTTGTGGCAATCCCAGAATGCCCAGAACGTTTGCCCATTTATTTATTCAAAAAAGTAATTAAGTACCTACTATGCACAAAACGTAGTGGAAACACTTTTGTTCATTTATCTATTCAGTACATACTTTATGAATGTATCCTGTATACTAGGCCTGGAGTATATAATAGTAAATAAAAAACAGCCACATGGAGCTCACAATCTAGTGTTAATCTAGTCATTAACAAGAGAATCACAAATATGTAATTGCCAGTGTGCTAAGTGATTGAAAGGAAGGTGCTTGATGGTTATGAAACCATAAAATAGGGGAGCTGAGAACAAATGAGGACAAAGAAGGGGAGACCATTTGGAAGCCTGCTGCAGTTAAACCCACAAAAGATGGTAGTTTGAGCAAGAGCCCGAGTATTGGAGCTGAAGAAAATCGACTGATTTGAGATGTCTTTTATGTCCACATCAGACCTCTCTCCTCTCGGGACAAGAAAGGCAGACGAAGACCAAACTTCTCTACAGGTGACTCTTAGCCAGGACAACCTCTTACTTTGAACTTGAACAGAAGCAGAGGGATTTTGTCTGGGGTGTGTGTATGCACCATTTATTGAACCCCAACTATGTTCTAGAACCAACATGGTCACATTTAAACCTCACAACACCCTATGAGGTAGATGTCTTTTTCCATTGCACAGATGAATCTGGAAAAGAGTAGGCGATATGCCCAAAGTCATAGTTGGAGTTAAGATTGAAGCCCAGGTGTAGCTGCATTCAAAGACTGGTTCGCTTCATTACATCTACGGCTCAGGACCTGTGATGTCCTGAACTCACTGTTTCTCCCTCTAGTCTAGTTTTCAATTTTGCAGCTACCGGGAGGGGCCCTTAAGCCTCTATGGGCAGAGGGAAAGGCTGAATTACGCAGCTAGAACGCCTCCTTCGGATCAGAACTAGAGAGTGAGAGCCTTGTTTCCCGACGGAAGTGGGGGAAAAAAAAGATCCGTGAGATCGGAAGTTGCGTGTCGCATTCCCGCGCCGGCTTCCCTGAAGGGGGTGAGGCCTCAGCGGACTGCCCTTCCCCAAGATGGCGTCGAAGGTGATTTCGCGACGGTGGATGCTGCAGCTGCTCATGCAGTTGGGCTCAGTGTTGCTCACACGCTGTCCCTTTTGGGGCTGCTTCAGCCAGCTCATGCTGTACGCCGAGAGGCCCGAGGCGCGCCGGTGAGCGGCCCTACGCGGTCACCCCTTGCGTTGCGGGGCATCACGGCGCGTTCCAGGAACAGGGATGCGGTGAAGTGGGGAAGAAGTTTGGGCCCAGAAGTTGGGACCCTTGGACTGGGAGGACTGAGGACCTCGGACTTGTTAGGGGCTCTAGTCCAGAGCAAAGTGAGCATTGAACATAGTGCGGGGGTCCCGGCCATGAGAGGGGGCTCTGGTTTGGGGGAGAAGTAGAGTTAGCGGGAAGTCAGGGGGTGTCAACGTTCTTTCCCCCGCCTTCATTCTGCGTTGTTGCTTTCCCACTCCCGGCTTGCAGGAAGCCCGACATCCCAGTGCCTTACCTGTACTTCGACATGGGGGCGGCTGTGCTGTGTGCCAGTTTCATGTCCTTCGGGGTGAAGCGGCGCTGGTTCGCTCTGGGGGCCGCACTCCAGCAGGCTATTAGCACCTACGCCGCCTACATCGGGGGCTATGTCCACTACGGGGACTGGCTGAAGGTGAGCGCCTCGGCCCCGGGGAGGACTTCGTTAGGGTAATGGGGAGCCCGAGGCCATTTCCCGGGGCAGTTGGGCATTGCGTGGTGTTAGCCAAATGCTCAGGGCGGATCCTGGGAAGGCCGAACTTCCAAGAGTGTGGAGATTATTATAGGCTGCAACAATGGAAGGATCTTATAGCCACACAAGCTTTCTTTTCAGAGTGTGGAAACAGGTCCAGGGATGGGAAACAGACTTAACCAAAGTCATACCGTAGTAGCATTACAGATGGGACCAGAACGCAAGTCGCCTCGTTCCCAGAACCCTTTAAAACCATTAGTTTAGTAATCTCAGACTCATAGGGCAAAATGAACCTTGGAGAGTGCCTGGTCCAACGATTTGATTTTATGAAATTTAATTAATCCTAGTGCAGCGTTTAAGTCTGTAACATCCAGAGCTTGTGCCACGCATTGCAAATTTGGAGATAATCCGAGACAAAGGCACTACATGCAAGGAATGGACTGTCAGTAGGGGAGGCAGATGTGTGAACAGCTACAGGACAGTGAGCTCAATGAGTTTTTTTGATGGAACAGACCATACTATATAGCGGAAGGAACATGGGGATTCGAGTCTGCAGACCTGGGGATGAGAAAGGGGCAATATTTGTTATCTGGGTTCTGCCACTTGCTTTCTGTAGGACCTTGGACAATTTTATTAACCCCTCTGGGCCACTTCTGATAAAAAGAATTATCTTTTACTGCTGTACCTGCCCACCACACTTAAAAATGGTAAGAGGGTTTATCATACGGAAGGGGCTATATAGAAATGGGCAGTTCTGTGCTCTGGGCAGTCAGGAGAAATGTGGTGCTTGCAGTTCCTGATTGGGGTCCCCTTGCCTTGGCCTAGGTCCGTATGTACTCACGCACAGTTGCCATCATCGGTGGTTTTCTTGTGCTGGCCAGCGGTGCTGGGGAGCTCTACCGGCGGAAACCCCGCAGCCGTTCCCTCCAGTCCACCGGCCAGGTCTTCCTGGGCATCTACCTCATCTGCGTGGTAGGTTGGGGAACTGTTGGCTGGAGCTGCTTGACTGGGAGTGAATGTGAGCGCATGCCTGGCAGAACCCAGGAGGTGGGCAGAATAAAGCTCTGTATATAGGTCCCTGTGGCCTGCCCCTGGGAATTGCCCCTGCCAGTTTCTGGGCCTCAGAGGCCCTCCAAGTGCTGGAGACCTGGCCAAGAGTCCCTTCTTCCAATATTATTGACACTAGGGAGAGAAAAGGCTGGATTGACAATTCACCCTCAGGCTTGAAAGCCAGAAGAACAAGATGGACTGGTCTTCTCATGGCTTCAGCTCCCAGAGGACTGGGAGAGGAGACAAAGAGGTTTGGCAGGGTTTAGGCCCCAGCTGGGACTCTGCCACTTAGAGCTGATGGGGCCTTCCAAAGGCACAAGTTATGGTCCTTGTTGATGCCTTTAGGGGAGACTAATATGGATGGGCCCAGGCTACTTGGCCTCATCTTAGTTACTGGGCACCATCTCCCATGTGCAGAGCTCTGGATTCAGAGATGAGAGCCCCAATCTGACTGTGGAGACACATCCCCACCTTTCTGAGTTCCCAGGGGGAGAAAGGACATAGGCCCTAACTTTATGGAGCTCCCTAGTCTGAGGGAGAGATGCAGGCCCTACTTTTAGAGAACACCAAGTCTGAGAGGGGAGTCAGAAGGCCGCCTTGCAGAGGATGACTTGGAGTGCCATCTTAGGGGTGGCCTTCCCCCAACAGACTCTTCAGCTTGTTAGAAAGTCTTAGAGGATGTTTTGTCTCTAGGCCTATTCACTGCAGCACAGCAAGGAGGACCGGCTGGCATATCTGAACCATCTCCCAGGAGGGGAGCTCATGATCCAGCTATTCTTCGTGCTGTATGGTGTCTTGGCCCTGGCCTTCCTGTCAGGCTACTATGTGACTTTGGCTGCCCAGATCCTGGCTGTACTGCTGCCTCCGGTCATGCTGCTCATTGATGGCAATGTTGCCTACTGGCACAACACACGGCGCGTTGAGTTCTGGAACCAGATGAAGCTCCTTGGAGAGAGTGCGGGCATCTTTGGGGCCGCTGTCATCCTGGCCACTGATGGTTGAGTTGCACAGCAAGAGGCTGAGATGGGTACAGGACCCATTGAAGGCCACCCTACCTTCCACCTTGCTGGTCCGGTTATGTTTATTTATGCTTTTTGGTGTGTTTGATCCTTAGCTCTGTGTGTGCGTGTGTGTGTGTGCGTGTGTGTGTGTGTGTAAAAGGTGGGCCTGTTCCCCAATTCCTGGGCTTAGCCCTTGGGGCAGAGAGCCCTCATGACGATGCCTTACAGGTTTTTTTTTTCCTGTTTGTTAGGAGGAAAGCTGAGGCTGGCTGTTTCTCAGGTCTCCTGTCCCAGAGAACGGATAAGGCAGGGCCAGGGTGGGGGTACTGAGCGTGGGAGACAGAGGAAAGAAGACCAAGAACCAGAAGTGAGCGAAAGTGAGAAATTCGTTTCTGAACTTGGCAGATGAAGCGAGGCTCCATAGTGCTTTTCAGAGACTAAGAGTATGTATATTGACACGTAGATCAGCCCAGGAGGAGCTATGGGGCTGGGCTTCAAAGAAGCCAACCTATGGGCTTCATAGGTTGTTAGGGTATGTCAGGGGCCGAGATAGCACTGGCTGTCACCCACCTTGAGAGCAGAGCAGGCCTCAGTCTACTCGGGTGTGCAGGGGTGGAGCAGGCAGCAGCCAACTTGCGGCCTCCTGCCTTCTGTTTCCAACTCCATGGTTGGCCTGGTGAGGGTGAGTGCCTTCCCAAACACCAGACCACACAATTCTCCAAAAATAAACATTTTATATAGAGATTTGGCTTTGCTTCTCTATTCTCCCCATGGGGCACTTTGCTGTTGGTTATGACTGATCTTTGTTTTCTTGAAAAACAGTATCCAGTTAAGCCCCACCTTGGTCCTCATGTGATCTTTCCCCTGTTCTGAGAGTTCTCACCGTCCTTTGGCTCTCTTTTCAAGAATTTCCTAATTTTCCCTGTAGTGTATGCTTTGACCTCTCACCTCAATCTCTCTTGTAGCTTTTATTCCCCTCCTCATTTGGTGCCAACTGTTTTTGGAGAAATCTTTGGTGAGCGCAACTAGAAGGAGAGAACTAACATTAAGTGTCCATTGTGAGGCTGAGGTGTTTACATTTTACAGATGAGGATATGGAGGCTCAGAGAACGTAAGCAGCTTGCCTCAAGCCACAGGGCAAATCCAGCCACAGAACTGGATTCTAGGTCAAGTCTAATGCCCATGCCCGGATGTGTACTCAACACCATCCCTCTTCTGAGGGAAGACAGCGGCCGCTGTTGGAGTTTGGTTTTGTCACAGCCCCTCATGTGCCATGGTGGTCTCTTAATTGACCCTCTCCCTACTTGTTCATGCACCTCCTGACAGAAAAAAGTCCCAACTATTGGCACATCGTGGGGGTCAAAAATGTTGAAACCTCCAGCTTTGGACTTCTGCCAGTCTGAGGTGTTCTGCTCCCATAAAGATGGAGACATAACCTCTAGTGGGGCCTAGGACAAACCTGAAATGGAGCTGGGGTTGCTCTTGGTCTGGTCTGTGGAATGGAGAATGTTTCCTAACTTAGGATTAGGGGAGCCCCTCTGGGGGCTGTGTTTGAGGGAGATAGTGTCAGCATTCAACCTGGGGGCCCTCCATCTCATTTAGCACCTCTGTTCCTTCTAGGAGCCCCTGGTTCCTCAGCCCTCAAGATTTTGCTCCTAGAGGAACACTGCTCATTTCCTTTCACATGTGAGCTAACTCTCAGACAAGTATTTGCATTTTAATTGAGGCCTCCTGAAAAGTTACAAGACCCCCAAAAATGAAAATGCATGGTAGAATATCAGGCAGATCGGGGTGATGTTTAGGCTAGGGAGCCTCAGAACACAGCACAGAGGCCACAGAAACTGGCCCACTCTTAAGTTTAGGCCTCAAAGGCAAGACTCCCCCCGCCCCCATCCCTAGACTGAAAATTGAAGGCCATCTGGTTGTGGCTTTGGAGCATGTGGAGGTTTGGGGTGGGCCCTTCTCCTTCCTGTGCTTGTCCCACTTTGGCCCCGTGGACAGAGTAGAGTAGGGGATTGCTTCTTCGTCTGCAGCTCACTCAGCCAACAAACGTGTGGCTGCCTGGTGTCACCTCCAGGCATGTTTTTTGGTCTTCCCTGGCTATCCCAGGGCCTGCAGGGCTGGTGGTGAGGGTCAGCTGCCTGGGTCAGAAGCTGGCTTGCAGAAGGAGTCCGGCAGCCCCTTGGCGTGGTTGACCAGCTCATAGGAGTCTCGGATATCAGCCAGGCCAAACCAGAAAAAGATCCACTGCTTGTTGGAGAAGCTGCCATCGCTGTGCTTGAAGTACCTGGGGGTGTGGGGGGTGGGGAGCTTTTAGGGTAAGGCCAGTGCTCACTACTCTCTAGTTCATTTATTGAGGACTTAACTACATGCTAGACACTGCTAGGACCTGTTGTCTGTTATCTGATTTTACCCTCACAGCAGCAGCCAAGACCTGGTCATATTATGCTTTCACAGAGAAGCAACTAAAGCAGAAAAGTTTGGTAACTTGCCAGAGTCACTCTGCTATAGTTAGAGTGAGGACATCCCTTGCTCTCTTCACACTGCCTTGGCTGTGCAGCCAGGGAAGGGTTTCTTGCTCATCATTTGGTACCCACAGGGTAGTGGGGAGTGACTCACAGCAGCAGCCAAGACCTGGTCATATTATGCTTTCACAGAGAAGCAACTAAAGCAGAAAAGTTTGGTAACTTGCCAGAGTCACTCTGCTATAGTTAGAGTGAGGACATCCCTTGCTCTCTTCACACTGCCTTGGCTGTGCAGCCAGGGAAGGGTTTCTTGCTCATCATTTGGTACCCACAGGGTAGTGGGGAGTGAGGGGATAGTTGCTGAAGAAGAGGTGGG